ACTGTCTCAAGAAAATCCATTCGTGTCGTAAAGCGATGACCAACTATCAGATCCCACAAAACGCTTTACTCAAGAATAAGTTCTTCTATCAGTTCCTTATGACTCACGACAGGGAAGTGGCGCGAGAGGTGCACAACGAGTACATGGAGACCATGAGTAAAGTCTACTTCTCGTACTTCAAGGAGTATTTGCATCGATTGACAAAACTTCAGTTCGAAGACATCCCCGAAAAGGACGACCTCATGGGCAGTGAGGACACGGGCGCCAAATCACGCACCTCTCTCTTCGCCAGCAAATACACGCTTAAGAACCGGTCGACTGTCTTCTCGATCGGCGACCGCGAGGCCATACTTACCACTGACTTAGAGGCGCCTCTTATTGTGCCGCACGTGGCCATCAAGAGTGAGACCAAGTACTCGATGGAGAGTCTGTTCCGATCGCATGAGTTCGCACTCGTGGACAACGCGTGTCGCGAATACCTGTTTATATCGGAGTTCTTTATGGCCAACAGAAACACGGCTCAAGAGTTGTTTACTCAGGTTTTGGGCAAAACCTTCGCACTGATGACCAAACACATTGAGGATCAGTTTCAGTCCAGTTATGACTCCATTGCACTCTTCGTTTGCCTTCATATCATTTATCGGTACCGACTCTTAGCGCATAAGAGAGCGGTTCCCACACTCGACACGTACTGGGAATCGATTGTCAAGATCATTTGGCCCCGATTTGAGTACGTGTTTCAGCTGCACATCCAGAGTATAAGACTGTGCGACACCACTAAACTGACAAACTTTGACACCACTCGACCTCATTATATCACCCGACGATACGCCGAGTTTTCCGCTTCCGTTATGATTATTAACGACACGTTTCCCGACGAAAGGGTTTCCGTTCTGTTGGGTTCTCTTCAGAACGAAGTGGAGAATCTGATCCTTAAGATGGCGTCTCTCTTCCATAACCCCAAAGAGCAGCTCATCTTCATTATCAATAACTATGACATGATTTTGGGAGTACTTATTGAACGCAAGAAAGAGGATTCAAAAGAGTCTGAAAACATCAAACAACAGCTCAATAAACGCATCCAAGACTTTGTCGAAGAGCTCTTGTGTCCACATTTCGGTGCAATGATTGCGTTCGTAAAGGACTGCGAGTCTTATGTCGACAAAAACGATTTGGAAGCCCTTAAGCGCGAAGAGTCCAAAGTGACTCATTTGATCAAATCATTCAACACTGGATGGCGTAAAGCACTCGAAGACATCTCCCGCGAAGTCATGAACTGTTTCACGAACTTTAAGAACGGGAATAACATCCAACAGTCGGCTCTGACACAAATCATCCAATACTACCACCGGTTCAGTAAAATTGTATCACAAAATCCGTTCAAAAACAATCCGATCCGAAGTGAACTCATAAATATTCATCAGTTGATGGTTGAGGTGAAGAAGTATAAGACTAACTTCTGATCCATTTTTACCACAATATTGTCATTATTTATTATATTTGTTTGTTTGTCTAGTAAATCATTTTTGTCCACATTCTCATTGTTTGTATTATTTGTTTTCCAGTAATATATGAATAATTTGTTGAAATAGTTGTGAATTTTTAAAAATGAAATGTTTATATTTTAATAGAAAATTTTCAAATAAAGTTTATACAGCATTTGCACCGATATTTAAGTGTTTACTCTTTTGTGGGATTAGATTGAAAATGAAATTATCATTTAATGGACTACAGATGACTGAACTTCCATATGAAATGGGTTTGAAAGTCGTAACCAATTATCAAAATATAATAATAATAAATACATATAAAAATTTGTGGTAAAGTTCTAAAAATAATTTCAAATTTAAAAACTCAATTCATTTCATATGTAAAATTTTGTTTATTAGGAAAATTTTCACATAATTTACAAAAACATTACAATTATTCGTTGTATTATATCATAAGTAAAACATTTGAGACTTCAGTCGTCGAGACATTTATTTTTAGTATAACACAAGTAATTCAAAAAAGTTTATATTAAATTTATTCCTAAAAATAAATGTATTAATAAGTTATAAAATTCTATGTTTTATAATTTAAGTGAATATTGAATTTACTAAAAATTGTTTTGGTTTAAGATTTATTGATAATAAGAGTATAATAACATAATTGAGTAGAATAAATAGATCAATGATATTAATACATTATATAAGGCACGATATTGAATTCTTTGTTGATGAGCTTGGTCAACATTCGTATTGTAAATATTTCCAATATTGAGCTTTTAATTGTTTTTGTTATTAGTATTTTTGGCATTTAATTAACAAATATATAGAGAAATATGAGTTAATGATATATTACACTCTAATCAATGAATGTATTTAATGTATAGAATAATAATAATTTAAATCAATTTAAGCCTAAAGTGTAATCAAAGAACAAGTAATGAGTTGACAAACAATTTTACATTCAATGCATTTAATTGTAATGCATATAAAATCCTCTAAAAATGAGCTAAAATCTGTAAAATACTTGGAATCTAATGGTTAGTCCCTCTCGTGGAGCCAATGCGCCTGTTTTTGGTGTCTTTGGTGATGGTGTCGGCCGTGGATTCTAGTTCTTTGGCTATGTTTGGATGCAATACAGGATGACTCGACTTTGCTATACGTGCCGCCGAAGTCGCACATGGGCTCTGAACAGTCGCCGGCGCGGACACACCGGGCCTCCAGTGGCGACAACTTATGTCGGCCTCTCTTGATACGGATGCAGTGGTGATCCCTTTCCAAACAGTCGCAAATACAGCGCTCGTCCGATGGGTTGATGCGTGCGATGAATGGGTGCGGACACCGACACCTGAGCGCAAAGTTGTCCGAATCGACGTCCGCTCTGATGGTGGTCGTGATGGTGGGCTCAGGGGTGGTCGTCGCCTCCATACTATAGGCTGGTTTGTAGTGATGTGTTGGTCCCGACTGCCAGTGCTCTGGCATTGGTTTAGTACGTGGCATGTAATTGATCTCTTGACAGTGACATTTCGTGTGGTTCACAAATCTCAACACTTCAGTGCGACCTCCGTTTCCACCCGTATTATTGTCCTTAAGGTCGGCGTGAATGACATAGAAGTATAGATCAACCGTTTGGGACGTCTGTGCGACACATCTCTCTGTGCTGTGAAATAAGTGCCCATTAAGTCGAGAAACGCTATTAATCTCTCATAACATTTGTGTCAAACATCTCATGTGATTAGCATTCAGTTAATGGAAGCGATAAGAGAGAGACACTTATGTCTTACAAGACTATAATCTAAATTAAATCGCGACTCAATCTAAATGTTTTGCTTTTAAAACAAATTTCTTAAGTCTCCAAAAACGAGAATCCACTCATAATTTATATATTTCTATAGATTATTCGATAAACAACTTTATTTCTAAAGTATATTCATTTAATGGCAACATATTTATTAAGCGCTTAAGAAGTTTTCTTTATTTTTCAATGTCTGGCGTTTTGTTAATTAAATTATAAATCATTTTCAGAAATGCTTTTATTATAATTTTTAGTAACAATAAAACAACTCAAACAACGCTAACATGTAAGATCTCATAACACAAAGGAATAGCGATTCTGTGAATCTATTTATAATTAGAGGAAATAAAATTTGACACTTTTATGAAAGATTTGATTACTTTTCGCTATTATTTGATATTCAAAAAATGAGATTCGTTTCACTCTTACCCGACATCACAGCATCCGCTCTCGTCGTCGCACTGATGCAAAACTGTACACCTTTTGAGACAATTAATACTTTTTAGTACTTCATATGCGAATCAAATTATCATTTATTACTTATATTTGTATTATGTGTTCACAACAATTCATATAAACTTCAAATCGTATAATACCTTTTTGTCAATAGTTTTTTGTGAACCCTTTTAAGCATTTGTTAGACTTATAAGAGGAAAATAGTTTGAATTATTTGTTTGACTTTTCTCAAGGAATTCAATGTTAGGATCGTTAAACTCAATTCAACTTTTCGTTTGGTGTTTGTGCCATAAATTCTCATCGATTTATTAGTTAAACATTCATAGATTATCATACTATTTATTGTGTAATTTGAGGGCAAATATTGACAAATATATAGTTAATTACATTCAAGAGAGACCTTCAGTTTTTTCGGACGAAATTTAATTTTCACTCAAAAGTGAGAGTTTGAAGCGAAGCATCACTTTTGGAAATCAAAGTCAATTTCAATGCTTTTTTAAATGACATGTTTTTCTTTCTTTCTTTTTTTGTTGGGTTTCTATCGCTTCAAAACAATCGCATATTTTTCAAGTCAATCCTCACTACAGACAGACATAACACACAAGAATTGATGCATAAAATGCATAAATAATTAGATGTTTCGGCTCTCCATTCACCCTATTGTTGGAAACATTCAATTATTTATATAAACATTATTTACACATTTCTCATGGTTTGCCTATTTTTCCGTAAACCCTATACACGACTGACATATAAGAACAGTAGTACAGTATCACATTCACAACATAACCTTAAATATCAAATTAACTGTAAGACCAAAATCTTATATCTAAACATAAAACCTTATGTATCAATCAGATTTGTTGATCTAAAAATAAAAAATATTAAAACATATGTTTGCAACTTGTATTCTAATTATCTTGTAACAAATTAGTAATTGCTGTTTTAATCTTGATAAATTTATTGATTAAAGAGTTATATTCCCATCTCATTACATTAAAAACTTCTTTGGTTTTATGCATTAACCTTAAATTTGGTTATATTTATACATAACTTAAACCTAATTTAATAATTCGAGTCCACTATACTACTAAGACTACCTAGGCTAGTAATAAGACTACCTGAACATCACTTCCAGCTCATAGAAGTTTAAAGTAATAAATATAATCATTTGATAAAACAATTTTCATGTTTTCAAAGATTTTATTTAAAATGCATTGATATCTAAAAAGCCATACAATTAAAAATTTAAACATTAAATCCTTGAAAATATGAAAATTATAAAATAGTTATAAAATCAACGATTGCTGTCAAATGTGTAAACATTTGGTATGAATTTGCATATAAAACAAAATTTTTGTGACTAATTGTGAGGAATTTTTTCTTATTCGTCAACAAAATGTGTTCAAATGAAAAGTGAGAACATATTCAGTAGTCTTAACGTGTCTTAAATTTATAAATAAAATGCTATTCATTGTATACTTGGCTTCAATTGAATTTGTTTGTCAACTTAGGATTAGCTCTCTCTCTCTCTCTCTCTCTCTCTCTAAGATTTTTCTATTCAAACAAAACTTTATGACTCAAAACTAAAATAACATTTTTATGTCCTTTCCTTCAAGTATATCCTATTTTGCAACAAATATACATAAAAAATATTTCAAAAATCTTATTCTATATTTAAAACCGAAGCTATCATTATAACTCAGATTCCGCAAACTTTCTCCGTTAATAAAAACTTATTTTTAATTCAAACCTTATTTAAAAGCATTTGTGAGCCAATGACTATCGTCTGAATTCTAGTTTTGTGTAAATACAATTTTCATTAATTACTACTTTTTCATAATTAGCAATAAGCCTATCCTTAGTTTGAAAGTGAAAAATAAGTGAAAAGCACTTTAATTAATCACTTTATAATCCATTAATTATTAATTATGAAAATTAATGTTAGCTTTTGGGTTAAAAGACACCAGGGTTGCAATACACATACAATAATTAGACACTAACTTTCTTTGAAATACCAATTTTTATTCATAATAAATGACTTGTATTGTAAACAAGGAATGAAAATAAATACATTTTTCATGAAGTAGTTTAAACGGAACTACTTTTTAGGAGATAATCTTATTTGTAGTTAACTTTTCTTCAACTGTAAGTAACGCCTAATTTGTGTCAATAGAGTGTAAGATTGAGTGTATGTATTGTTTGTCCAATTTATTTAAATTTTAATCACTTCTTTACAACTTTACAGCAAACTAGAGATAAATAAATGATTACATCAGACATTGAAATGAGTTTCATGTGAAGAGAATTTGTTTTTCTTTATTTTTATAATGTATACGTTATGTAGAGAGAGAGAGAGAGAGAGAGAGATGAAAGTGTATTAAAAAGAGCGTACGGTTTACATAATAAGATCTAAACTTGAAAATTCAGTTATCTATCAATTTTGACACAATTCCTTCTCGCGCCACTTCCCTGTCGTGAGTCATAAGGAACTGATAGAAGAACTTATTCTTGAGTAAAGCGTTTTGTGGGATCTGATAGTTGGTCATCGCTTTACGACACGAATGGATTTTCTTGAGACAGTATTCCCTGATTTTAGTGATGGCTTTGATCTTGAGGTTGTTGAGGATCTGGAGCACATCGGAGCAGCTCTTGGCCTCACGAAAGGACTGTTCCTTCACGAAAGTGATCTTATGGTCCAAGACATACAACTGCTCCAAAAACTCCTTCTCCGAGACGGGAGTGTCGACGATGTGTGCGATGACCGCCTCCGAGACAATCATGTCGTCCACGAATTGACTCAGATTTGAACGAATCGTTTGCTTGTTTTTGAGCCTTTGGTTCAGTGACACCGACAGCTCCTGAAGCGATAGTATCTCCTGACAGATGTTGCCTAAGTCTGCCTGAAAGGAGCACAACATGCCCTCCAAGCGCTCCAATATCTGGTCCGAAGACGTGATCTCCGAATGCAAGGATGCGATCGCTTCCGACTGCAGGATGTAGTCATTGACCGACGCGTTCTCGATGTCCGTCAAAGACTTCTCCACTTCTTTACTATAAGACCGCAAATCGACGCCCGACTGAAGCACTTCTTTCACCAGATCCTCACCCAAAGTGTTGT